AAAGAAACTAGTTAGTTCCAACCACACTTTGCATACTCCACGGACACAGCCCTGTGATGCCAGACGGGGAGCACGGAGTCACAGCACCTTCCTTCGTTCAGGTATCAGTCAGGAGGTAAGTCAGACAAACCAGATCCAGGTCTTTGCAGTTGAGGCAGTCCCTGAGCCAGGACTGAACTCACATTTATGTCCCACTGTCACCACTTCTCCATGTCCCATCATGAAAACAAGCAAGCACTTGCCAACAGTGCGTTTATGGACTACAAATCCCTGCTTTGTTTGATGACAGCGAAGAACTGTTCACCTAAATTACTACAGTAACTATTACTCATGAGAAAATACCTATTTTTGACTGGTTTGTTGCCTGTCCTGAATGGCTCTTTAACAGCCACACCCCCTCTGGCAATATTCCCAACTGGGTCCAAGTTTCATTGCTTTCAGAAGGAATACCAAAGTATCTTTTACCTGGAGCTGTACAGTTAACATTCCTTCAGTCCTTGCTGGCACAGAATGAGTGCATGCTCACAAGGAACTAGTATCTTAATGAAGTTTACCTTGTCTCAGAAAGCACACGAAAAGCTGTACTAAAATCTTTCATTTGCTGACACCAAGTGGGCAAAATGATCAGTAACATCTGGTGGACGTGCTCAGTCACTCCAGGCTTGATGAGACTCTTACATTCCACACCTCCTGTAATTATAGAGTTTGAGCCTCTTTTCCTTTACATCTGGTGATTAATGTTAGATTCACACATTTGGACCATTATTTAGTTAGAATGCTGCTGCTGCAAGGACAGATTCTTCTACAGCTGTAGCAGACTTCAGAAAAGACTTGAGGCCAAAATAATGAAGAAATGGCCTGGAAACAAGCTACAGAAATAGCTGTGTTTGCTCTTCTTGCTGTAGAGGTATTTAAGGCCTCGTTTCTCCAGTAATTAGAGCAGCAGTGTAAGCATCGCTTGTTTAAACCGTTTAAAGTAAATTGCCAAATACCAGATAGATGCTGACACAACTAAAACCTAATTATCTGCAGCAATTACACTGTGGTGTGTATGCATCTCCTTTATATTATAGTGAATTCTAGGAGTGCTCAGCATGGCTTTTAAAAACATGCTGGGTAATGGAAAGTCATTCCTTAGTGCATCAAGTGACAAAACCAGACCCAGTTGTTTGCTTTGAGATAGGGTTTTAATAGATGTGCCATCAAAACAGTGTCACTGTTACCATTTCTTAATGTTTTAAGTACAAACACGGGTCTCCAAGCTCACACACGGGTTTTGCTGGATTCCTTCTCCCTCAGACAAGATGTTCTCAAGCGTAAACACCTGTAACACAACAGCATGGGTGAGTTAACCACTCCCAGCAAGTATCAAGCCATTTGCTAATGTAAGGGATATCATCAGAAAACCCTTTGCTCACCACCAGTCAATCTGCCGGTAATTCCAGCAACTTGTGGTTGGTTTCATCACATGATACCTTTATTTCTAGCAGAAAGAAGACCTTTATCCCTTTGCTCTACAGAGCCATCAGCAAAACCGCAGTGCAAAAGACAACAGCTCTTACGCATCTGCTGCCCTTGTTTTATTACAAGCTACTTTTTGGCCTAGAACTTCAATTATTATACTTCTAGAGCTAAGAATATACAGACAGAAACACAGCCAACGGGAATGTTCTCAAGCAGATCATGTTTCTGAGACTGCAGACAAATCCCATCATGTTAAACTAACAGCACACCAAGTATTAAACTCACCTAGAGGAACCTCCTGCTCATTCTGTCTCACTGCCTTCTGCAGGACTTGTGAAGAGCTGTAACATCACGTGGTAGATGTGAGGAACAATTAGTACATGGCAGCAGAGACCTGCAAGCTACACCTAAATATAGATACCAGGAAATAAGCATCAGGCTTTGAATACTGAGGATGAGAGGAGGGGAAGTGGATCGATTCAAGTTATGAAGTACGCTTCTTGAGGTTTTTTGCAGCCTATAAACCTCACTTGTTCCCAATTTAGATCCCACATGGTACAAAGCTCTACATGAGTCACTGAAATTTTTTGAGGCCAGGTTGGATGTGGGTGAGATGGTTTAGTGTGAGGTGTCCCTGCCCATGGCAGGGGGGTTGGAACGGGATGATCTTAAGGTCCTTTCCAACCCTAACTATTCTATGATTCTAAATTCATCACTCACCTTCACATTAGGGCCATCTCCAAAGTGTAATCTACTCCCTATGACACCTTCATCGGGAAAGCCAGGCTCTGCAGACAGTGACACAGATGGACACGGAGCTATGTTAAGATATGACAAGGGCAATTTTCACGGACAGCAAGCATAATTAAGGGTTGCCCCATTAGTTCCAGAAGACAAACTTAAGAACCCAAACCCCGCAGGCACGCAGCTGTGTTTCAGACACGTGAGGATGTTATCGTCAGTTCTCGCATCTGACGGCACTTCCTATTCAGGGTTATCATCATCAACAGCCAACTTTTGTACCCGAGCCCTTCAAACACCACAAAGTGCTTCATCCTGAACCAACAGTCATCCCCCCCTTGGCTTATGAAAGGCATTAGCTCTCTTAATGATGTGTAAATGAGGCTTGAGCTAATTTGCTTTAAGATGCAACTGCTACATGTTATTTTTTACTAACTGTCCTGCATTAACTGCTTCACATCAACAACTTTCCATACACCTTAGTGCAAGTTAAAACTTTAACTTACCTTTTCTACTTCAAGTCATCTTCCTGCTGTGGGGATAAAGCAAAAGAAGCATTACTAGAAGAGTCAGCACAGTGAGTTTAGGAAAAAAGTAGGTTTCTAAAGTAACAGCTTATTTTATAAAGTAGATTTATGCAGGAGAACAAATCAACACGCAACCAAAACCAGGACCTCAGGACCAATGCCCTAAAACCATCACCTACGTCCTGCTGCAACAGGCCCTGATAAAGTCTCTCCCCATCTTTCCTTTAGCCCCTTTTAAGTACTGAAAAGCCACAATAAGGTCTCTTGGGAATCTTCTCCAGGCTGAACAACCCAAACTCGCGGTCATTCCTCACAGGAGAGATGCTCCAGCCCTCTGATGGAGTGATCCATTTGCTAAATATATCGTTATAAAGCTGAAAACCCACGGAAGCACAGGAATACCATGTGCTAACCGCAGTGTTACCCCCACAGCCCCGAGCGGGGCAGGCCTCTGCCCCAGGAACGAAGGCCTAGCCCGAAAGCGACCAGAAGGCTCACGAGGAGGCAATCGAATGTGACCGGGGTTTAACCCCCATGTCGAGCCCTTCATAGAACAGTTAGGGTTGGAAAGGACCTTAAGATCACCCAGTTCCAACCCCCTGCCATGGGCAGGGACACCTCACACTAAACCATCTCACCCAAGGCTTCGTCCAACGTGATCCTGAACACTGCCAGGGATGGAGCATTCACAACCTCCCTGGGCAACCCATTCCAGGGCCTCAGCACCCTCACAGGAAAGGATTTCCTCCTTAGATCCAATCTAAACTTCCCCTGTTTCAGTTTGAACCCATCACCCCATGTCTTATATCACTACAGTCCCTAATGAAGAGTCCCTCCCCAGCATCCCTATAGGCCCCCTTCACATCCTGGAAGCTGTTCTGAGGTCTCCATGCAGCCTCCTCTTCTCCAGGCTGAACAGCCCCAACTCTCTCAGCCTGTCTCCATACAAGAGGTGCTCCAGTCCCTGAGCATCCTCGTGGCCTCCTCTGGGCTTGTTCCAACAGCTCCATGTCCTTTTGTCCTTCCTACAGCTCAGGCATGGCGGTGCCCGGCGCTACCTCAGCCCGCGCCATGCCCCGGCCTCCCAGCCGCAGCCCCATCCAACTCACCGAGAACGGGTTCGCACCGCTCCCAGCACGGTCCCGGCTCCTCTCACGGGGTATCGGCCCCCCCGGTGCCGGTTCCCACCTCCATGCCCGGCCCTGTGGGGACGAAGGCCGTCAGCGCCACACACCGCCATGCCGCAGCCCTCCCTTACCCGCCCGCTCTCCCTCCGTGTGTGTGCCCCCCCCCTCCGCTTCCCCCAATGGTCCGGCCCAACCCCAGCGGCCCCGGGGACCGGGAAGCACGGCCGACACCACCGCTGGCGGGGCGGGGGTGCGGGCCCCCACCTCATGGCTACTTCATAGCGTGCTACACCCAAACGGGCCCTCTCCCTGCCCACCTTTACCGCCCAACCGCCCCATGCCCGCTGCTCTCCCTACCGACCGCCCTGCACGCATGGCGAAAGGGCGCTAAAGTGGCGGCGACCGCTTATAAAGGCTTGGAACGTACCACTTCACGGGGGGGGGGGAGCCGTACCACTGCTGCAGCAAGGCGGGGGTAGCTGGAAGCATCCATCTCCTGCAGCGGGACACGGGAGGGAGGCGGGACTTGGAGCGGCTTTGAGCATCACCGGGCTGGTGGGCCCCTGGTTTGCGGCACCCTGGAGGCAGGGGAGTGGGGTGATCCCGGCTGGGATGGGACCGGCTGCACCTGGAAGTGGGGATCCCCATCAGTGCGAGTGAACAGTGCGCAGATGCAGCAGAGCAAGCCAAGGGGATGCAAAGGGACATCAAGAGCATCATCAACAGAGATAAAGGTGTCATTGTCTTGCTCTACTCGGCACTTGTCAAGCCACACATGGAATTCAATTCCCTGCTACGCAAAAAGGTGTGGACAGGCTGGAGAGGGTTCAGAGGACCACATGGATGATCCATGGACTGGGAAGCGTGTGAGGGAAGCCAGGAAAAACTGGGTTTATACAGTATTTAAAGGGCGGCTGCGAAGAAATGGAGACTCACTTCTTACACACGTGGAAAAGGCAAGAAGGGTGATGGGCATCAGTTACTCCTGGGGAGATTCTGACTGAACACAAGAGGAAAATCTGTCGCACTGAGAATAACCAGCCATTGGGATAATGATGGGATAGTTTGGGATCACCCCAGGGAAGTGGTGGATTTCCCAAGATCGGGTATCTTTAAGGCTGGACTGGCCAGGGTACTTACCTAGAAAGGTTGGAACAGATGATTCTTGAGGCCTCTTCCAACCTGGGATTTTGGGATTCCATGATCTCGTCCCCAGAAAGGCACAATCCCCTCTTAGGATAGCCAAGGGAGCACCCACAAGCTCCTCACTGTGAACTGATGCAGCTCCGCTCTGTATCATCTGTGTTCCAGCACACTGGGATGGGTCAGCGTGATTCCAGACCACTTTTATTTGGGACAGAAAGCTGCTTAAATATAAGATTTGTTATTTTCACATTTTAATGTCATTTTGAACTGAAAATAAGGGGTTTATTTTGCTTTCCTTTTCCCTGCTAAACACATGGGCCATCATCTTCGAGAAGAAAAGCAAAGCCCTCTCTTTCAAGTCTCCCATCAATGTCACACATTGAGAGTCTGCCTGAGGGCAGCTGCAGGCACAGAGCCTGCAGCCCCTACAACTCTTTCTTCTACGCAATCAAATCACCTTATAGAACCCCATAAAATCCAAAAGACCCTGTTTTAAACAGCAAAACCTTCCCAAAGGAAGGATTCTGTGGTCCTGTGCGGAGTCACCCAAAATTCAGACCCATCCTTCCCTCCGGCAAAAGCCAAACTTTTCCTTGTGCAATTCTCAACACAAGTTCATTTTAGTACCATAGAAGGGGTCTCAGAACACAACTCTCCATCCAATCTCTCTCTCTCCAGGTCAAACAGGTTGCGGTTAACTGTCTTGAGGATAAAGCACTCACTGAAGATTCAGTGCTCATTTTGAATGAGCAAAACCCAGCAGTTCATGTGCAGGAAACTAAAGACCAAAGCTAGAATTCCTGATACCACCAAATATTAAGGCTTCTCTGTATCACCCAAAAGCAAAACCAGGCAAACAAGCAGGAAAAACCCCACTCTGTAAGTCCCTTCAACACTAAACCTCTATTTTTCTTGCAGCAAAGCTACTGTGGTGTCATTAACACACAAAACTCTCCCTTCTAAACCATAACTGCAACAGACCCAACTAATGTGGACACATTTAAAGGCGTGTTTATGACTATCTGGAAGACAGAACCAGTGTTAACAGCTCCTCTTCCTCAGACATAAGCCTTTGCCTACATTGCTTGGCTTGATTTCACACATCCATGAGTTCAGAGCCTTTCTATCACAGTTAAGATATTCTCTCTTCCCATCCTGCCCTTCACCAGGCTCAAGTTATGAGTATTCACATGGAAACACAGTGGTTATCAGCAACATCTACAACCTGTGGCTGAGCTTAAATGCATGCAAGGGTCCACAACACCACAGAAGCCTGTTTTCATAGGTCAGGTGCATGATTCATATCTACCATCTCCTCCCAGGAAAAGGGAAGGTCACAACGGGAAAAGGGAAGGTCACAACGGGAAAAGGGAAGGTCACAACGGGAAAAGGGAAGGTCACAACGGGAAAAGGGAAGGTCACAATGGGAAAAGGGAAGGTCGTCACAACGGGAAAAGGGAAGGTCACAACGGGAAAAGGGAAGGTCACAATGGAATCAAAGCGGCAACACAACAAAGGTTTACTGGCAAAAAGACACTGGTTAAATAAATTTTATCCGTATGTTGAGAAATGGGCATGATTCTATTTGAAAGCTTTGGAAGGGGTACTGATGAAAGCACACATTAAGATGAACTCTTACAGTGATCAACCATTACAGTCATTTACTCTCAACAGGACTTTCATGAGACATATTTATATAGTCAATAATTAAATAGAAAACCAAGGATGAGTGTCACAAAAAGAGGAAATAATAAGGCTTTAAGCCCAGTCAGTCCCCAGATACCTTCTAGTCACTGTACCTTTCATTTTTCCTTTTGTTTCCCATGCTGCTATTCTTTATCATAATAAAGCGGTAAGAAAAGTTAATTGCAGATTCCTTGCTTTTCGGAAGCCTCAGACTTACTTCAGCTTAGTACAAAAACAGGGAGGGAAAAGATAAAACGTTTGTAAAAAAGCAGGAAGGGGAAGAGAGATTCAGAGATGTTTTGGACTGAGAACATAGGAAAGAGGGACAACACAAAGAGATTTTTTCAGCCTATCCAAATGTAGCAATGGTTTTGCTACCTGTTCTGTTTACCAGGCTGTGATGTGCTGCATCATTCCTTATTTCAAACCACTGGCAATGCAAATATATGCCACAGGCAACAAGAGATAAAGTCACTACAGCTGCACACTGATCAAACCTTTTTCTTAGCTAGAGAAGGGGATGCAGGTAAAAAAGCTGAATGTAACAAGTCAACCATGTTCACATCCACATGAATGATACAGGGAGAACATCCAAAAGTATTGACATGAGACAGTGATCCTAGAGTTTTCCTTTTCTCTTTCAGTTATATATATATATATATATATAGTTAAACAGCATATAGGAAAACACTACTATAGCTTTCACCGTGGCCAACAGGAAAATCCTCACAAGTAGAGAAATGGATGCTTTTCAGTTGTTAGATTTCTTCAGAACAGAACACAGAGGAAACGAAAGAAATGGGATTTCTCATTGTGTAACAGCAACAACAAAAACTGAAACCCTTGGCAATTTACACAGTTCTCAAACCTCCAACTTTGCAGTCTTGACCATCTCAATCCCTACTGCAGCAGAACACAGTATCACCTAAAGAAACAAGCAGGACTCCTCAAGCCCTGATGCTACTTGGATACTGTGTGAAATTCCACTGTACTAATATGTTTAACTTCCAATTCACATCCCGTAGTTTGGAGGAGGAGAACGTGACAGTCCCGTTCAAGCTTATCCCTGCTGGCTGCCCACCCAGGAAGGGCATTACTTGTTATTACTTCAAGAGGAAAGGAAAGGTGCTGCGTAAGAGCCAGAAGGGCAAGGCAATGATGTTGGTTATGAAATGCCCTGTTCTTTGGAAGGACTGTGTAAAATACGCTGTTAAAAGCCTCCGTGTTAAAAACATTAAGAACAAAAAAGGTCTTAAAAATACAGAGCATCTCTGCCTCTTCTTTTCAGTTCAAAGCTTGGGGAGGAAAGTGTTTTGCTAGAATTAACTACAGGTTTGCTGTAATAAACATATATGACAATGCCCTACGTAACACAGGGCCAACCACAGACTCCAGACAAACGTGACTGCTTCAGGTTTCAAGTGGTGTTTGCATCTCTGGTTTGCATAAAAGGAACAGAGACACTTCTGGAACCTTCACTGCAGAGTCTTTGCCAGCGTCCAGCTTTTGGGCAAAGGAAACCCTGCCACAGTGCAGAGTTCTAATGCTGAGGATCGGGATGTAAACCCGATCATGACTCCGAGTCTGATCCCGAGCTGCTTTCTCGGCTGATTTCGATTTGTAGGGATGGTAAATTATCCAACCGGCTCTTCTTTTGCCGAGACTGTTCTTTTTCCTTTATGAGAGCACCCCAAACCCGCTGGAGCTCTGAGTCGTCCTCCTCTGGAGCTGCCACAGGTTTCTCAGGTTTATCTGAAGTCTTTTCTTGGGTCTTCGGAGCAGACCCTAATCGGGTCCATAGATTACCTGGTCAGATGAAAAACAAACAGCTTTTAGGAAGACAGGACTAAGAGGAATGCTGGAGGAAGTCTGAGGAAACTAGGCTTGAATTCATTTAAACTCCTCATCCTTCTCCCACCATCGTGTTTGGCATGGATTAGACTGGATATAAGGAAGAAGTTCTCTACTGTCAGGGTGCTGAGGCACTGGAATGGGTTGCCCAGGGAGGTTGTGAACGTTCCATCTCTGGCAGTGCTCAAGGCCAGGTTGGACGAAGCCTTGGGTGGCATGCTTTAGTGTGAGGTGTCCCTGCCCATAGCAGGGGGGTTGGAACTGGATGATCTTAAGGTCCTTTCCAACCCTAACTATTCTATGATTCTATGGAACTTACTATACTTTGAAGCAGTACTTGAAACTAAAATATGGGAGGTCTTGTTCCCTGCTTCCCATTTGCAGAGAATGATACATGCCACTGCGTTCATGACACTTGGTTTAGTGCCCTGTTTTGACCTCAGTTTTAAAGTAGTCCTCTACTTTTAAACATACCTATATAAAACTATTTAAAATACTCAGCTCAACCTACATCTATTTAGATTTCAAAGCTCTGAACGAGCATTTGTTGATTCAGTGAAATTAAAGAACATCCTTTATGGTTTGCTGCTGACACTTCCCTTATACTCTAAACCCAAAAGGAATTGCACCATTACATTTTCTCCATAAAACCTACCTGATTTCTTCTCTCTGGTATCAGAGTAGAGGCCTTTAACATCTGGCTTGGGGAGTCCTAACCGGCTGTGGACATCTGATACGGGCTCTCGACGAGCAGCAGAGGTACTACTTGGAGGTTTAGTTTCTGGAGAATGTGGTCTCTTTCCCAGTCTTCGCCGCACATCTGGGGATATTTTCAAGTGATTAAAATGACAAAAGCCACGCTGCCTTTATTCCAGCTCTCCCAGCTAGTTTTATGCTCGTTCACCATGTGTACAACTTGAAACTAGACAGATTCCCTGGTCTTTGAAGTCTTTCATACTCAGATTTCAGTCCTGGCAGTGGTGGCAATACAGTGTATCCAAATTTAATCTTTCTTTTTTTCTTGGCAATAAGTTTGCCATTTAATGCTTTCAGGTTGTGCTCTGCCCAAGAGATTGTACTCTATGGCTTGCTCCATTTCTGCTTTAGGAGCATAGCACATCTGCATCCAGCATGAGGTAAGATTACACGTAAATCAGTACGCTCCAACAGTTCCTTTCAGATAAGGGACACCTTGCTTTGGACTTCTAATACTGCTTGATATTTTGCAGAAGACAATGAAAACAAGAATACGAGAATCCTAAATATATTGCTATTTGACCCACAGTGTGAATCTTGCCTTCTGAAGTTTGCCTGTTTTAGCTGGATATTTCTTGTCTTAAAGGAGGCTCAAACAAAAAGATGAAGGCAAAGGGAGTTACAGGACTTCAGCGCCAACTTAAACTGTGTGAATGCAGAAACTGCTGCTGCACAGAACTCCCTAAGGTTACTTGCAACGGAGCACAGTGTAAAAGGAAGATATCCCTTTTAATGAGCCAGTCAAGTTCTGCACAATGTAGGAGTTGCTAAGTACCTGATTTTACAGTGCTGTTTGGATGACGCGGCCCACTGTTGTTCTGACGTTTTTCTTCTAACAGTAGTCTCACATCTGCCACCTTCTCTAACGATCCTTTACTGCCAATCCGGTTTCTGATGTTACTGGTTGCTATGCTATCTGCTCGCATGGAATTCCTAAAGAAAATAACAGATTTCACATCCCTTAAATGAAATGAAACCTAGCACAGTTCTGAAGTCCTCTTGAACGTAACATTACATCATAGAGAACAGTAATATCAGGATCTCTAAAATGAGAAACAATAGTAAAATATGACTTGGAAGAACTCATATTCCAGTCAGAATCCAAGTTTAGCAATTATCACATGAATATCTCAGTATCTATTGCAAAGCAAATATTGAGTTTGCCTCCTTAAGGCTGTGCCTCTGTGTCAAAATTCAGAGCAGCTGTGCAGTCTCAAAACTGTTAAAGGACTTGATGTTATAATGAAGTCTAATGAGACTACTGAAGGGACATATTAAAGTGATATCAGTAATCCACAACGTAAGTGATTTTGGTTAATATGCCCATAACAAACAAATTCCTTTTTGTCATCAACACTGGGGGGTTATTCTTCTTTCTGAGGAAGAGGAAGGAGTAAAGGGAAAAGAGAAAGAGCAGTTATTGAGTTATTTCTTCGTGGCCTAGTTATGAAATGCAAGAAGTTAATTGTGCTTGCTTGCATTAATTTCTATTGATTCCACTTTGAGCTCCATCATTATCAATAAGGAGGGTTACAGAATCTGCAAGGGAAGCTGTATGAAGATAGGCTGAGAAAGTTGGGGCTGTTCAGTCTGGAGAAGAGAAGGCTGCATGGAGACCTCAGAGCAGCCTTCCAGTATCTCAAGGGAGCCTATAGGGATGCTGAGGAGGGACTCTTCATTAGGGACTGTAGTGCCAGGACAAGGGGTAACAGGTTAAAACTTAAACAGGGGAAGTTTAGATTGGACATAAGGAGGAAATTCTTTCCTGTGAGGGTGCTGAGGCACTGGAATGGGTTGCCCAGGGAGGTTGTGAATGCTCCATCCCAAGGCCAGGTTGGACGAAGCCTTGGGTGACACGGTTTAGTGTGAGGTGTCCCTGCCCATGGCAGGGGGGTTGGAACTGGGTGATCTTAAGGTCCTTTCCAACCCTAACTATTTTATGATTCTATCTGAAAGATGTTAATTGTAATTAAAAGCCTGTATCACTGTTGGCTGTATTTTGCATTTATTTTTAATATCTACTACAAAATTAGGTTAAGAAGTGAAAAGGGAGCATTGACACTTTGCCTTTAAGCTGCGACAGCTCTGTCACTAACTCAGACTGCCTCTTCACTGATCCTTTTAAAGAAGGAGAAACTTTTACCTAATGTTTTTCAGTTGTGACTCCACCTCGTCTGCATACATTGTCATTTTCATGCTCTTCTTGGGAGAGGGCGTTGATATCATTTTCAGTTCAAGATCATAGTCCATTTCATCAGAGTCAGATGCACTTGCACTTGACCTTCGCGTTGCACTGCGCTCTCGGGACTGCTTGAAAGCTTGCAGCTCATCACGGTACTCTACCACAACTCTGTCATCTTCATCCATAACCTGATCTTCTTCCTCTTCTTCCTCCTCCTCAATAGGCTCTTCGGGAACATTTACTAAGCCTGTAGCAAAG